TCCTCTATTGCAATGAATTAAGAAGAATTTGTGTAGATTCTCTTCTAGAAGCTTTGTGAGGGTCTAGGTGGATGGTGTATTGGAAGCTAATATGGATAAATTATGAGATAATCTTGAGAAATTTGTATTGGGTAATACTTAGTTTTTAAGGGATCTAATTGAGAGGATATAAAATAAAATTTTAACTTTTTAAAAATGAGTTTCATTGATTTTAAGTGTTCAAGTCATTTGAACAAAGTTATGGAAGTGGAAGTAGCTAGAAACAAAAAGAGAGAAAAAAAATTAAAAGTGGAAAAGAAGGAAATTGTAATTATGAGAAATTATGAATCAAAGCATTTGTATTGGTTTGCTACAATGAGAAATAAATTTTGCATAACATTTTTCAAAGTATTAAATTTATTCTTTTCTTGTATTTTAGTTATTCAATGTATGAGTTATGTATTTATTTTTCTAATTTTCTTTCCACTTCAATATTTTATATTTCTTTTGGTGTTCTTTTCATTTTAATTTCTTAAAAACCTAAATATTTTATTTTCCTTAAAATTTATCAAACTACAAAGTAAGGTATAGACAATTAAACCCTTTAATTTCTTCAAATTTTTTGGCCCCGCGTAGGGCCCATGCCTAACCCTGGCCAACGTGCTTCCGCCACTGTGACACAGCATATAAGGCAGAGAAATTTTGAGCTTGATTTTGACGCTACTGTCATTCTCATCTCATCACCTTTGGGCCGCTCAAGCTTAAGAGTGTTTATTGGACCTCTTGCTTCAGTAATTAAAAGAGACAAGGTTTCTTCATTGAATGACTTCATGAGACATTCTCTTTTTTAAGTGCTTTTTGTACGAAGAGTTGTGTCATATTAGTATAATTAATAATTAATGATTAATGATTAATATTAAAATTAATGTATTAAAAATTTAAAATTATAATTAATTTCATTAAATTTATATTATAATACATATATTTCAATCACACGAAAACATATTCAACAAAAGAAGTGTTAGAGAGAGTCTAGTTAGCATTCATTAATTCATTCGTGATTCCATTTGTTGGATCGACAAAAATGATGGGGATGGGATGGGGTTGTTGGAGCACCAGGGTGACATTAGGGAGTGCTTATCTAAAACCTAATTGCACAATGAGACCCATCATGTCATGTCAACGCTAGTATTTCAATTATCAAATGATCGAACAAATACATTACCTTATTCTTTAGGGTTTGGATAGATAATGGGTTTCAAAAGATGTAGACAGTGACTGATCCAGAAAACTTTTTTGCAATATGTTAATTACAGTATATCAAATCGTTTTCACTTATGAATTCGTAAAAAAGTCTATACATTGCATTTCTAAAATTAAAATGAGATTATGGAATTTTCTTTCCAATTATCACAAGATCTCAATGAAATGTTCCCTTGTTTGACAATAGAAGTTCTAGTTTAATTTTTTTGATTTTTTAATGTAAGAAGTTTAAATGAGAATTTAATTATAATATCACATTATATTATAGATTTGTAATATAATATATTGTTATATAATTAATTTTTTATTTAAAAATCTACCTATAATATTATATATGTTATCTCATATGATATATTATATTTATTTAATAATACATTATGATTATAAAATTATAATTTTTTATAATATTATAATTATAATATTGTTACAAATAAATGCTAATAAAAAAAAATTTCTTTTTCTTATATGTAGTTTTTGGTTAATAGTTTCACTTCATCACAAAATTTTTAACTGTTATTTATATACCATAAATGTGGTTTTCATCACAAACTCTACTTTTTTGTTCATATTTATTAATTAGAAATGTTTTGCTAATTTTAATACTCAAATTACATTAAAAAATAAAATTTATTTTAAAAAAAACTATGTATTTATATATTATATT